GCTAGTAGACCTGTCTTCCTTTTTATACGATCATAGACTCCAAGATGCCCAAGCAAACAGTTCTGAGATACTTCAAAGCTCGATATTCACTCAGCAGTATGTTTTCCTAATATATGGATTTTCTTTTCTTTTAAAATGTGGAACCCATGTTTCTCTTGTTTTTTTTTTCTCNAATGGTTTGTACTGTTGTTTCGGTGCCTAACCTACAGATACGTGGAGCATGTTTTGAACAGTGAGAGGGAGAAGATGAAGTGCTGCAGTATCGAGTACAAATTCCCGACACACTCTTCGCAGAATTACATATACGCAGGGATTCTTTTAGCTGGGTTTTTCGTTTATTTTGCTGTCATCTTCTTTGCATCGCCTGTTCGTTGAGTTTCTCTCAAGCTGCTCTGCACTCCCTTCAAACTAGTGTAGGCTTTCGAGTACTGTACTCTATAACAATCAGTATAAATTTTGATCTCATATGGAAAGCGTTTAGTCACCCTTCATATCAATGTGGTTGCAGATTTGTGCTGTCTTTTCGTGTTTAAGTTCTCTGGAGGTTGTATTTGTTCAGGGCAAACTCATACCTGCCTGTAACTGTATACAAGCGTGAACTAGTGAACAGTTGGGTTATTTAATTGTGTTACATGAGTTATGCAGTCCACACACCAAATGTACTTTCTCATCACTGGCTTGTAATTTTACGGGTCTTTAAAAAGGGGAAAAAGAAAAACAACATATTGAATGTGAATTTTGTACTTCAATGGATGAGCTTAAGCTTTGGCCTAATTCAGTTACGAAGCTCAAACTCTGGCACGAGCTCATTCTTGTTTGTTGAGTTAAACAACCTACCATTTGGGCGTAAGCTTGCAAAATTTTAACAATATTGGAGACCTAATAATATGGAGTGAGAGAACCAGAGACATCGGAATTGTCAAACGCAATATTCACAACAATAAAGTTTGAATTTTTTAGATACAAAGATCATTTTAGAGCATTAAAAATATTAATAATAAAGAGTAAATAAGCTTGAATAGTTAGTCATTAGTCCACACAAAAACATTGTACAAATGACAAAATAATTTGAGTTGAATCAAAACTGGATATGACCCTTTTTACTGGATATGACCCTTTTTAAAGAACAACATGATATGCAATGTACGGAAGAACTCAGATATTTCAAACCACTCAAAAAATCCCACCTTTTTCAACCCCCCTCAAACATCTGGTTGCCATTATAATTTACACAAAAACCAAAACAAGCGTTCTTAAAAAACTGTTATGCTGTCTCTAATCAAAAGAAATACATAGGTAATTAAAGGAGCCTCGACCACCTAGATGGGACCACACATGGACTTTTTCGAACAATGTTAAACTTTGGGTTCTTAAACCCATTCAAATTCATTCAAGAATGTTGTGAAACGAGGAAGATACGAATTAAAGACGAGAAAGAAATAACACAAGATTTACGTGGTTCGACAATGTGCCTACGTCCACGGCGGAGGAGTGATCTTTTATTATTTACGATAATCCCAAATATATCAATAAACAATGTATTTATATCATAACCCTACAAGGTATAAATTTACTTAAATACCCCGTACCGTACTGCGTGGACTCCGCCCTCGCACCCCCGGCCCAACTAATCGACCCAACCCAACAGGGGGCTGACTCGCTCCGCTTCCCTCGCTCCACTCGCAGGCATCAGCCTGCCTCCTTTCTTTGTCAATATATGAGCCATACCAACAAAGAGTATTATACATTTTTACCAAAAACCAAAAACTGGTAATACACCAAATGAAGCAAGCCAAAAAATAGAAAAGAAAAAAGAACAGCAACACAAGATTTTCAATCAAATGCGAGCAAAAAGAACACTTACCATGACACAATGCCATTTTTCTCTCCTCTCTATATTACAGTGAGAGGGTGTATTTCACTAGGACTCTTAGAGCATCTCCAATGCATAAATGGTGTTATCACATAAATTTTGACAAATGTCAATTATTTAGATGGATTGTGAACCACATAAGATATTTATTAAGTTTACAACTTTAAATCTAAAAAATTATCTACAATGCACAATGTGATCAAACATAATATTGTCCACTTGACAAAAATAAAAAAAATATAAATAAGAAACAAAAAGAATCAAATAATTAGATATTTTGAAAATGGTAATAATATTTCTCTCTCATTTCTCAATTGGTTGATTAGAATGTGAAAGATAATGTGGATGAACCACATTCTTTTCTACATTGTAGACATTAATTATGTCCACCTCATCACTACATTTGTAATTACATTGTGCATTGTAAGATTAAAAATTAAGACATTGCTAAATTTGTTAATATAGAATGTAATGTACTACAACTACATTTTACCATTGGAGATGCTCTTAGAGACTTTTAAGACTTTTTAAAATGGATTACTTTTGTGGACTTACTCTCAATTGGAAGAAAAAGATCCGATTTTTAGTGGTGTATTCCATCAGGACTCTTGGAGACTTTTAAGACTTTTTAAAATGGGTCACAGACTTTATGCAACTTTTTAGAGCATCTACAATGCTCAACTTCAACATTAATTTAATTGAACACATGTGAATCAATGGATTAATGTATAATCTACGTTAATTGAATGTTTAAAGAATAGGACTTTCATTTGAATTTTTACCTTCAATGCATCCATTCAACAGCCATACAATTTGTATATGTGGATTTATTCATTTATTATTAAAGTAAAAGAGTATATTAGAAAAAAAACCACAAATTCCAATAATTATATGCATGATGTTATTTTTTGTTGATTTAGTTAATTTTTATTTATATCATCAAATTTATATAATTATTATTTATTCAATAATTTCTCAGTTACAACATGTATAACTACACAATAAATATTTTTTTAATCGGTTCAGAATAAAACCACAAAATATTAAAATTGCAAGGACTCAACAAACAAATCTCATGAACATAATATTTTACGTTTTATGACATTATTATTGATAATTTTTAAATTTTAGTTGTAACTCATCAAATGATTTTACTGTATTCAAATAAATTCTCAAATTATCAGTTAAAATGAAAGAAGGACATGTAAGTGAATGAATATACGTGAAAATTTTTATCAGGATGTGAGTCCAAAAGTCTGAATCAAGTTGGTGTCCAAAAAAATGATCAAAGGGGAAAAAAGGGTGAGCATGGGTCGGTACGGTTCAGAAATTGACAAATCTTTGGAACCGTGCTGAAGTTCGGAGATTACTAAAACTCAATCTCCAGAACCGAACCAAAAAATCGGTTCGGTTCGGTTCGGTTCGGATATTTTCATTTTTCGATACAGTTCGGTTCGGTTCTCGAGACTATCAGAACGGTTCGGATCGGTCCAGTTCGATTCGGATACTCAGATATTTCTAATTATTTTTAATTTTTTTTGAATGCTCACCTAGTTGTATTTCAATTTTTATATTTTTTTTTAAATCCAACATTCATCAATACTTTATCATAGTAAAGATTTTATTTTTAAATCAACTGGAGAAATAACTCTAAATTTCAGTTAAGACTAAATTTGTGCAACTTACATTGAAAATTTAAAATTCAAACAAAATATAATATAGTTTTTTATTAAAGTAATATTTATTTAATCTTCCATACCATGTTAGATATAAGATTGAATAAGACTAGTGTCGACAAATTTAAGTAATGTTTAAATATTATTTAAAAAAATATTTCTTTAATCTTTCATACCAATAAAAATATATTTTTCTTAAACCAGGAAAATTCAATTGTAGATCTCAAATATTACTAAGCATGACATTTAAGTAGAGCTCAATTGTTATAACTATATTTTATTTCCATTTTAAAATTTTTCAAATTATATAGAATCAAAATTGTCATAAAATATATTAATATTACACATCTATTTTTATAATTCGGTTCTTAATTTCGGTTCTTTGGTTCGGTACGGTACGGGACAGTTCGATTCAGTTCTCGGTTCGGATATTTGTGAATTCTCCAGAACCGTACCAATTATTTTTTTGCTCCGGTTCGGTTCGGTTCGGTTCGGATAAAGTCAAACAGCCAATGGTTATTTTGCAGTTCGGAGTTATTTCGGTTTGATTTTCGGAACGGTTCGAAACTCTCCGAGTCCCATGTTCAGCCCTACATGCTACCAAAGGATGTGTCGTGCGGGTCCCTTCCAGTTAATACAACGCCCAATATCATCCCAAAGTTAGAAATGTCGCTTTTATCAGTGTACCTAACGAAAAATCATACAATTACGTAAAATAATGATTATTCATAACAAACTATCAGGCAAAAATGATCTCCAACAGTTCCAAAAAGTTTTGCCCATGGAAATTCGAGCGACAAATTGGGTTTGGTTGCAAAGTGTTCCTTTACGTTTATTTGGCTTTCTCCATGAAGCTTAGTTTCTTCAAGAATAGTTGTTACCATCATCAGGCATATTCAGAGTTCAAGCAACTCAATAATTGTCTTCAAGAACTGCTAAAGCATTAAATCTATTTGGCAGCAGCTACTAATGTATACCCATGAAAATATAAGCACAAGTGAAAGTAGCTAACAAATACTAATAGACAATTGATATTCTTGATACCTTCAATTAAAACCACATAACAATAACCTACTTCTCATACTCGGGAAACTTGCATTCATCATACCTGGTGTTCTTAAAACATTCTGGTGGATTGAAGCCCGATGAGGCTCGAACAAAGCCTGGAAAGATCGTAACTAATCTACAGTCAGCCAACCTTGGCTCGAACTCCGAGTCCATGATCACATTCGAGGGCTTCAAGTTATAGTGTAATCTTCTGGGATCACAAGAAAAGTGCAGATAATTCAGCCCTTTATTAAATCCCAACCGCTATCCGAATACGGTATTCCCACTTAAGCTCCAACTGATTTCCGTCACTCTTTTAATCACATCCTCGAGACTTCCTATCGGCACATAATCGTAAACCAATGAGTAAACACCATATTCAAACACATAAGCCCTCAGACTCATTAAATTCCTCCGCATGCCAGTTTCCCGAGCTCCTGCAGCATCTTTCTCTTGCTGTGGGCCTCAGAAGACGCGCTGGAAAAGGGGCCAAGTCTCTTGACAGCAACATTGAGGCCATTGTCGAGCTTTAATGGCTTACCCATGTGACCTTTGTTCTGTCTTACAGAAAACTGATACAAAAGTCCTCATACTGTTTAGGGATAATTTACAAAAGCTATGAATCAAATAACTTTTGTGATCGCACACTCTCACACTCAACAGTTGATACCTGTACCCCTTGCACAAGTATTAACACTGAGAGAACCCGAACCAATAATAACTACAATTCAAGGACTAATCATTTCTCCAGCACTAAAGTTGACTGTGAAAACAAGATATACATTTTCAAATGATGTAAATCAATTGGCTACACAATCTTTCTTGTATCTTAATTAGTATTAAAAACTTCAAATGATGGAAAAAATCATCTCTTGCATTGCCAAATTTAACCTGGCAAAATATGTATGTCTTCTTTGGCACAAACCACATAAGTAATAATGTACATGAAAAATACAGGAGTTCACGATTTAACTGGTTGTGTGTGAAAACAATAGCCCTCAGTAAGACAGAATTTCACCCAAAACTGATAACTCCAATACGCATGAGTTAAGTTCACGATTCTGAGCTCAGTATGGCCAAAGCTGGCCTCCTGGAAGACTGACCACTCAGGCTGGGACTTCTGTCAAATAGTCCCAATACTTAATACAAGATGAGCCATTCATCATTTTATTATATGATTAATAGCAGAGGATCCAATACAAAGTATGGTGCCACATTAGAGCATGCCGAAGGGCAAAAGCCTTCTATTCCAACTCATACAATTATCATCTCAATTTAGTTTATAGGTCATATTATTCTGAAAATGTCTCTGGATTCCTCGTGATACTTGTTAGTAACAAGGAAAGATCTTACCTGGGTGCTAATCCTTCTATGTTCCCTCCATCGCTCCACAAGGATCTGATCTACCGTTAAAAACGCAGTTGTGTTGGAGAAAAAATAAAGAAACTAAATAAGTTCAGTGCTCATAGGAACAAAGACTAGAATACAGAAGAAAACAAACTGAGCGCTCATAGGCATGCACATGGCCAGCAAACACAACCTCCAAAACCTAAGAATCACACAAAAGAATACACAGGTAGTAGTTTATCAGGTCACACCTGAAAAAGGAGAACATACAGATGAATCCAAGTAAAATGGCTGTCAGACTACAATGCTAAGGAAATACCATTATTGAATACCCAGATAGGTGCGGCGCCTAAATCCTCAGCAAGCTGCAGAAAAAGTGATCCAAAAAAGGGACAAAGAACAATGAATTAACAAAAATCTATGAAAGATATTACTGATTCCAGTTAAATTAATGCCAGTAAAATTATTTTTCTGATAATGTTTGGCGTTAAAATATCAGTTAAAAAAACAGAAAAATAAGAATAATTCTTTTCAGTAAAATTATACCTGGAGAAACTCCAGATGACCAAATCCATCATCAGTCCAATAATGCCAAACATCACCAAAATGGCCCGGCCTTTCTTCCCATGGGCCGTAGTTTCTTTACATCTGAATGCATTCCTTAACCATTCACCTTCAACAAAGCAACCACCTGACAAAAAATCACGGATTTAAGCACATTAAGCCTCCAATATAACTCCCGTAAATGAGAATCATATATAAATATAAACCTGTATAGTATAGTCTCACTGGCCAACAAACATCAGGATCAATAGAGGAGTATTTCACTATTTTGACATACTGTACGAGTAAAAAGAGATTGTTCAGCATCATTCTTGAAGAGCTATAAAATCCATGACTCGTGCATGAGCTTTATTCATTCCTTTTTTCTTTTTTTCTTTTTNCTCAGACAAGAGCTCCTTCTTCCTCGTTATATATAGAGCTTGATATAATATCATATTACATAGTCTGCAGTTTGAAAATGAAACACAAGGAAAAGCTAATATATTTGCAAGTGGCCTAGAAATCTAATAAATCCTGGGTTTAAATCTTTCAACATCTTGAAAAGATCTTGGCGAAATCCGTGTCCTTGTTGTCAAGAGGAACAGTATTTGATTATAATTTAAGGTGAAGATATAATGTCATTGCTATAAAAGCAGCATTATGGTAAAATTTGCACATTTTAGATTTTCACTTCAGTTTGGAATGAAGGTAGTCATCAGGTATATTCTCGAAACGATTCTGTTTGGAGCAACATAGTATCACGAAATGTCTAAATTCATAGAGGATCCATCGTTCAAGTGAAATCAATAGATATCGAGTAACAGTTATTAAAATTAAGACAAATTCTTTTACCTTGTATGTGTCTGTGGGCATCAGAGATGTATTTCACCAACCACCACTTGCAATCATCCTCCAAAGGTGGAAGCCTATTGCTTTTTGCACTATTGCTAGTTGTTGAGCCCACTTCGAGGCTTGATGCCAAATCTAGTGTTTTGTGAGAAACGGATGGGTCCTGTAAGTCACCCTGCCAAAAATGGCCATATGGTTAGCTACATGTTACTTAAATAATCTTTTGGATAAATAAACATTTGACTAGCCATAATGAAAGATGATTGGTTATTTATGCATGTATTTATCTCACATGAAAATGCTATGTATTATCGTCATATGCATTGGTGAGAATTGTAGAGAAATATGGTCTTTGGTGTACAGTTGTAATTTGAAGCTACAATATTACTATATATATAGTATTTTCTATTCAAATTTCTCAGTAGTTGTGCATGGAAATAACCATCAGAGTATGTCCAGCACCAAATCAAGAACCGAATTAAACTCGACTCTATAAACATAACTTAACACAGATCACAAGATTCGCAGACATGAAAATAACTATATAATGTAAGGATCGTTCAATCATAAAATCATTGAAATCAGACTCCTAAAATGAAATGTCACCCATAAACATCTAACACATCCAGTAAGCCAGAAACATCACGAAAAAATCTTATATAACAACTCAAACTGACAGTAGGAATAAGTAAGCAGGGTCATGGTAAGTTATATAACCGCCATCAATCAAACAGCTCAAACTGACAGTCCATACTCCCAACAAGATCTATATAACAACTTCTCCTAAATCCTATATGATGAACACTGTTGTGATTAACAATCAAAATCACCCAAATCAAAAGGAGAAAAAGAAAATACCCCACACAATAATCATAATCCAAACACAAAATACAGCCCAACCCCACCACAGAAAACCTCCCATAAGTTCCATTGTCCATCAACCAAAAAACACACGCAAATTATAAATCCAGAAAGCCCACAGGAATGCAAACCTTAACTGGATGAAGATACACAAGGCCAGTTTCATTTTGATCCTCTGATCGTATTTCTCCTGAAGATTGGACTCCAATGGAAGGTTCTCAACGGGTATGCTTTCTTCCTTGCTATCCAAATGAGGGAGTAGGCCCCCCGGATCAGTCGAGCTCGTTCCACTAACATCTGAACATGCTTTAACGTGTAACGAGCCTCTGTTATTGAGGACAAAAGGTGGTTGGATTTTGGTCCCGACATACGCTTTTTTCGGGTACAAGTAAATTGACTTGTGGCAGAACCTAAAAACTAGTGACAAAAGAGAGCAAGTAAAAGAGAATTCTAAATGTTTACATCCCTAACTAACATAAGTAGCTACACAGGAGGGCTTGATGACAAATAGATCTACTTATGAAAATTACTTATGAGAGTTAACCAAAACAAAAGGAGAAACGAAACAAGGAAAACCCAGAATTTCTAATATCGCTATACTCGTCTTTGGTTTTTGTATTTGTTTTTACAAACTTACGTTCTACATAGATGCAATTTGTAAAACATAGCAGCAGTTTTTGTAATCAACGTTAGATCTGCAACTCATATAATATGCCATTCCTCTATACATGTCAGAATGCAAATCTAAGTACCAAAAATCAGACCCTTAGCTCCTCATCCCCATAATATGCAAACTTCTTAAACTACTCACTCCATCATACGAAACCTTTTACAAAGTTATTTGCTTGCAACTGATATCTTCTGAAATGTGAGATGCAACAATCAAGCAATGCATTCACAAATCAAATGCCAAGCACATGTTTGACAATACATGCCAACAAACAACCGTAGATAGTACATGGGCTCCCAAGAAGATATATAAAAACAGCATAATATACTATATACTCCACATTGTACAGAAAAAACTGATTAGTTTAAGCCAAGATCTACACAAAGTTCAAGGTTGCAGAACATGACATATTGACAAACACAGAGAGTAATTGCTGTGAATACCAACGAATCGAGCCTCGTCACCAAAACCCTCCCACCAAACCCTTTCCCTTTACTAAGACATCGTCCCAAACAGACTCAGTGGCACAGGACGAGACGAACAAGGAGAAGGCTCATAAGCTCAACACTCCAATCATGAACAAACATGCACACACACTCAAGAAAAAAACAAGAAGTACAAATCAAAACAGATACATATTAACAATCAGGAACATGTAACTCAAACCAATACTCATCATCATCGCGACATAAAAATCCAAAAGAAAAACAGGCACTTTCTTTGGAGATTTGAGTAGATACATGATTTAATAGACAAACAAATAAATAGTTCGTTATAAAAATCTAATGGCGATCCTTCTACAGAGAGGACAAATATTTTTCCTTCGGAGCCACCTCTTGAGACAGCAAGCGTGAAACTTATGCCCACACCCATCCACTATTGCAACCTGCATATCCTTTCCACAAAAATTGTCTAGACAAATAGCACACACAGTTTTTTCATCATCGATATTATTATGCGTTATGATGTTGAGGTATTTCGAAATTTTATCCTCCTTGAAGCCTGCGCAGTCAGCCTCCGTCAGTACGTGTCTTGTATGTATTCGAGGCCCCCGTATCATTGAGCGAGTGATCGATAACATCAAAGCACGATCTTGACCCCACAGGGATGTTCCTGTTTCAAGTGGAGGAATTTGGGTTTGAAGTGGAGGCGTTTGGATGGCAGTGGGTTCGTGATGTTGAAATCCTGATTGTCCGGAAGAGCTAGAGTCCGAGTTGTTCATCGCCGTTTCATGAGGTTGTTCGAAGTCAGCCTCCGTCACTACGTGTCTTGTATGTATTCGAGGCGTCCGTATCATTGAGCGAGTGATCGACAGCATCAAAGCACGATCATAACCCCACAGGGACTCGATTGGTCCCGATAAGTTGGTCAAGCTGGCTTGTGGTGGAGCACGAGATGTTCCCGGAATTTGGGTTTGAAGTGGAGGCGTTTGGATGGCAGTGGGTTCGTGATGTTGAAACCCTGATTGACCGGAAGAGCTAGAGTCCAAGTTGTTCATCGCCTGTTGTTCGAATAGTCCCAACGAGCTAGTGTCCCAGTTGATCATCATGTCAAGCTCTTCCTCCGTCAAAGCCATTGTTATTTCTAATGCCCTACTCTGCAGATATTCGATTATTACCCCCAACTTATGCACACAAATCCAATAATAATAGCAACGAGAATAATCGAATTTGCTCATCAAGGGATTCAAATTTTATGAAAGAAAATAAGAAACGCCTCTTACCAATGGGTTGGTTGAGCCTAGGGATGGCTTTGCAATTGGTATCTCTTTTCCCCTTCTCTTTTGGTATTATTTATTTATATCTTTTTTTTTTTTTTCGAAACGATAGATGTATTATATAAATGGGCACAAATGTGCAAAAGTACAGCCACCAGCTGAATACCGACAGCCAACAGCCGAATAAAATGGGAGGACAGGTCAAAAGACCGCCTAGAACCGACCCCAACGGGGTAATACTAATACTCTAGAACACAAAACACAACCGACCCTAAACGCTCCCAAAGGGAGAATGAAAAGAACAAAAGAAAAAGAAAAAGAAACGGCCCCAACAGGGTAATGCCCGAGTGTGGGATCCCAACAGGATAATAAGGTCACACTCGAGCTCACAGAGGCCAACGGCCCAAACTAAAAACACAAGACGGAAAAAACAAACCAAACAAATCAAAAGCAAAACACTACAAAGAACACAAAACAGAAACAGCCCTCCCTCAGCAGAGACATCCGAGATTGACAGCAGACAAAGCCGACTCCGAGGAGAGATCCAAAGCGCAGGAACCTCGCCCGCCACTGCCTAAAGCCTAGCAAGACGAAGACCCAAGCCCCAAAAACAATCTGAAAAACCGACCCGCACTCCAGCCGTAGGAAGTCACAACCGCCCCTCAACCGGCTAACACCACTAGCCTAGTCCGACACCTCCCCGAGATCGTCTAACACCACTAGCCGATTCTAGAGACTGCCGGCCTCCCTCAGCCACAAATTCAGCGACACAAGGGAGGTAAGGGGTACGAAGCAACCCAGCGTGGCCACTCCGACACAGCCCGAACGGACGACCGACTCACCTCCCAACCCCAAAGACGAACCACTTCCCATCTCCTCAGCTTCACCAAAATACCTGCGACCGAAAGTCGCGAGTCAACTGGCAGAACCAAAGAACTGCAGAGGAGCCGCCGCTGAACCTGGAGAGAAGAGACATCCCGACACAGCCACGACGCAGCGACCCCAGCCACGACCACCCACCGGCGCCGCGCTACACCGACCACCAACACCCCGACATCCCGGCCGCCATCGCAGAGAACAGGGACTCTGACGAAGTATCGGCCAAAATCCCACGGCGTGCGACAATCGATGAGACCCAGCGCCATGGATGACCGACGGAGCACCGTCCACCGACAAACTCTGACGGCAGCTAAGGGAGGCAAACCGGCAATTTTGTTAGGGTTTTGTTGATTTGGGAAAAGGGGGTAAAGGTTTTTAACTTTACTTTCAGTATATTATTATTTATTTATATCAACTGGTATGCATATCTAATAAGAATAGGAAGAGGAAGAAAAGAAGAATATGAATTGGCTTAATTGCCTATAAAACCTCAAACTTGTATAGAATTGCAAATAAAACTCATTTTTTTTTTTATTTTTGCAAATAAATACCAAACTTTTATTATGTGTTGTAAATTTATCTTCGAACTATTTTTCGGCCAAGTTGAGCTGATGTGTCCGATTAAAAATCTTACGTTACACGGAGGAGTTGTCTGGTAGCCTAATTTTTCCACATCATATGCCAAAAGGATTTGAACCCCAAAATTCCAAAATTCAATAACCCTAAACTTGAACCCCAAAATCCAAGAACCCTAATTATTTTTTCTACTCTAAAGCTGTTTCCAGTAGCATTCTTGCTTTTGGACTGCTTACGACTGTACTTTCTGTCGTCTACTCTGCTGTTCGTGTCGGATCTTCTACTACTTTGCTTCTCCTCCAACCTCACCCCAAGTCACTTACTCATTTATAAATATTTACATATACTCTTCATAATATATGAGATAGATTTGTTAAGGAGACACAAACATGAAGACAGTTTTTGTAAATGTAGAAAAAATTAATTGGAATTTGCTTTAATTAGGCGAAACCTCAAATGAAATTACACTATTGAAGTATAGGCTATTGAGGAGTTCAAATCAAGGTTCTTTGATTTTGGGGTACAAATTTAGGGTTCTTGAAATTTGGGGTTTGGGGTTCAAATCCTATTGACATATAATGTGGAAAAAAATTAGACTGCCACGCAATACTCCTCCGTGCCACGTAGGATTTTTAATCGGACACGTCATCTCAACTTGACCGGAAAATAGTTCGGAGACAAATTTGCAACATATAGTAAAAGTTTGATATTTATTTACAAATATAAAAAAAAATTGAATTTTATTTGCAATTCTATAAAAGACTAGGATTTTATAGGCAATTAAGCCATATGAATTCCCCATATTTTTAGGGCCACTCTATTGAGCGAGTACTTTGGGAGGGGAGAGAATGAATTTAAAAAGTGGTAATATTCGTTTGAACATAATATTAAAGTTTAAAGTATTTCCATTCTTTATTTAGAATATTTTTATTAAGTTTACTTAGGGCTAGCTTGTTTATAAAATAGTTTGTCCAAAATGAGTTATTTTGGTTAACCATAGCTAATTTTAAAAAATGTGGTATGGTTAATTGTTAGTTGGATTTTAAGAATGTATTAAAATAATATTTAAAATAAAATGATTAAAATCTATCTATTAATATATAAATAGCCAACCTAAATAATTCAAAAATAGTAACTAAAAAATAATTTAGATTCCCTCATAAAATTTTAGAATTACTAAACATAGTAATTTTTTTGAAAATTTTCAGAATATGCCGCTTAAAACTTTCAAACAAGTCGCATAAAATTTGGTCAGTATCCCATGAAAAACGCCTCCGTACCTTTCTAATTATGCAATATAGAAATTTACCTCTGGCCGAGTTCGTCGCCTCCCTCGGGCTCATTCGGATCACTCCCCTCTACTTGTTGGGTTTGGTAGGCAAAGACTCCAGCCGCAAGGATGAAACCTTTTCGATTTCTTGCTTCATGGTTGCTTCATCCGGGTTTTAGGGATATGCTAAGAGATGCGTGAAAACCCTCCGAGAGCTATGTCGAGGCGGCGGCGAACTTTATGACAGCAGTGAGGGACTGGAACTCTAACGTCTTCGGCAATATCTTTATGAGGAAACGACGGCTGTTGGCACGCATAGGGGGTATCCAGCGGAGCCGCCATTTTTATTTTAATAATAAACTCAAACTGCTGAAACAGGAGCTTCGGGCAGAGTTGGATGAGGTGCTCCTCCAGGAGGAATTACTCTTATTACAAAAATCTGCTCGGGATTGGGCCTACTTGGGTGATAGAAATACCAAATACTTCCATAGGCAGCTGAAGTTTCGAAGGAGGCGTGGAAGAATCCTGGAGCTAATGGATACAGATGGTACCCGAGTTACGGATAAGTCCGCCCTCCGGCAAATGGCGACAGAGTATTTTACAGGAATATATAATGAGGGGCGGGTTCCACAGTGTCACGGGCTGTCACATAGCTTCTTCCCGACGAGTGATGGCATCTTTGGCCAGTGACATTACTGATGAGGAAATTTTCTTAGCACTGCAAGGCATGGGCTCTCTTAAAGCCCATGTATGGATGGTTTGCATGCTCTCTTCTACAAGCAGAATTGGAGATGGTTGGTAATTCGGTTCGGGAATTTATTCGCCAAATGTGGAATGACGGTCTTGTCCCTGCTAGTGTGAACAAAACTCTAATCGTCTTAATACTAAGGTGGAAAAGCCGTCCACTATCAAACATTTTCGACCAATCAGCTTGCTTAACGTTGTGTATACATTGTTCACCAAAATTCTGGTGAACCGTATGAAAGGCACCGTTGTTGGTTTGATTCATACGGCACAAGCTAGCTTTGTCTCGGACCGCCATATCATCCAATAATATTGTTGTTGCGCAAAAATTGATTCATTCTATGCGCTATCAGAGAGGAACGAGGGGTTACATGGTTATTAAAGTCTACATTGAAAAGGCCTACGACTACCTCAGATGGGATTTTATCGAAGAAACTCTACACCTTGCTGGTTTCCCTCTCAAGTTAATCACGGCTAATATGGCCAGTGTACAGGTCAGCTTCGATGAACTTGATGTGGAATGGAGAAGTTTGTGATGAATTTCAACCATCAAGGGGTGTCCGTCAAGGTGACCCCATCTCCCCTTATTTATTTGTCTTGCATGGAGCGGCTGACACAATTAATTTGTCACGAGGTTGAAGGGCAACGGTGGCGGCCCATTTCGGTTGGGAGAGGGGCAATCTCAATTCTTTTTTTTAATGTTTGCCGATGATCTTAGGATCTTTTTGGAGGCTTCGGACGACCAGGCGGTGATTTTGAATCATGTCATGAGTCTCTTTTGCGAACCTTCAGGATTTAAAATCAACTCGGAGAAGACGAAGGTGTTCTTTTCCAATAATGTCGAGCTTTATGAGCTAGTTCGTCTGGCAGGTTTGCTCAACTTCCAGGTAACAGATAATCTGGGTACGCTTGGGATGCCGATGATTAATGGCCGAGTGACCAAGAGTACGTATGCTCATATTTTGGAAAAAGCGGAGATCAGACTCGCCGGCTGGCGCATGAAGTCGCTCTTGATGGTGGGACGGGTCACCTTAACCCAATCGGTCCTTAGCACACTGCCAATTTATGCTATGCAATCCTCCAAGCTTCCTTATGCAGTTACAGACGGACTTGAGAAAAGATGTCAAGCTTTCGTTTGGGGAGGATCCGATGAGAAGCATAAGGTCCATCTGGTTGCTTGGTCAGATGTCTGTCGTCCTAAAGCTGCGGGGGTTCTCGAGATTAAGAATCTCCGCCTAATGAATCGCGCCCTGTTGATGAAATTATGTTGGAGTCTACTGACAAAGCAAGACTCCATGTGGGTGCGTGTACTCTTGGCTAAGTATGATGTCGCTTCTTCAACTAATGTGGTGAACCTCCCTTGTCGGAGGAGCTCGGCTTTGATGTGAGC